AACATACTTACACACACCAATCATCTGAAGTTTCATTAATGGTTATGCATGATTTATAGCAGTGTATTACACTGCTATAAACCGGCATTATTTACAGCAGTGTATTAACAACAAACATCAAACAATTTCTTTAACAGTGATTTTGCTTGCTTTATGAAAATCAATATTTTTGTTAGTTTTACTTTTAAAAATCCCCATTGAGTTTTAAGTTCTTAGTAGTATTTGTTGAATCACTGATAACCCATCAATGAAAGAAAAAAGTTTTTTGTCATATTATTCATCATCATCTTAATTATCCTTTTTTGCTTCCTCCTCCTCCTCTCTGAAGAGTTCCAACCAAAAGTAGAAGTACTATTCCAAATTAACACATAATTGGGGCTGGGATGGTATAGGCACTGAGGTGCACCGTTGACAGCCCAGATGTCACAAGTTTGAGGCCACAGCAGAAGCACTCATGGTGTGGCCTGTCAGATTCCAGCAAATTCTGCTAAATACCTTGGCACAAGGACACGAAGGAGGAAAGGAAGGAAGCGCACAATATATAAAGACAATATGGGGGGGGTCTTAGTATATGGATTGCATCATTATCAAGAACATGCAGTAAAGCAAACTTGAAGTATTAGAATTTAGCCTCGATAGCTGTCATGAATCAGTTTTCCCTTTCTTTGAATTATTTAATAGTGAGGGATGAGAGTTTTTTTTAAATTTCCGTTTAGATAGAACTATTTAGAAACATCAGTAGAATCTACATCAGCACACACCAAGGTGAAGGGAGGATGAAGCACTGGAGAGAGTACTCGGTTCTTCTCTCCTTCCAGCTCTAGACAAACAAATAAGCCAATAAATATGTATCTGGCCTTGTGCTGAATGAGGAACACCTGTATCCTTCTGTATATCAGGGGTAGGCAAACTTTTCAGGCTAGGACCCAGAATGAATGACTCAACTCAGGTTGGAGGTGAACAGGTAGGTAGACACTGGGACACAGTTCATCTCCTTGGTGGCATAGGAGAAGCACCCACAGCCTGTGTTCATCCCACAGGAGTACAGGGATAACACCCACAAGGTTCTCCACACTGCCATACGCCAGGAGCTAGATCTGGACCATAGGGCATAGGTTGCCAACCCCTGCTCTATATGATCAATGCAAAGGGCACACACTACTCCTCACTGTTAAGTTTTTGGATCAAAACGTTAAAAGTATTTAGGCACTAAAGAAACAAATTTGGAGACTGTGGAAAACCACCCCCTGCAAAACTGCCTAGAGACCCTGGGTTCCATTACTGCTGATAATGTAACTCAATTCTTTTTTTAGTTATAAAGCTAATCCTGTTAAATTCCTCTGAACATGCATTAATGAATAAAAAAAAAATGCAATCAGACAAATGTAAAATCAGCTGAAGGACTAGATCCTGTTTAAAAGACCTTGGTAAATGCCTTCCCCTCTCTCCCGTCTTTCTTAGGAAAAAACCAAGCCTTGAAAAGTGATCTCCTGAGGAAAACGATATTATGAACATCAATAAAACTTTTACATCTGTTGCCTTAATGGAAAACCATTTCATATTAACCTTCACCCTCATAGCTATAAAAGAAACAGCTGTAGCCATCTTGCATAGGGGGGAAATGAGGGTGCAATGCAGAAAACCCCGTATCTACTCTAGCACAATGGTTCTCAACCTTTTTGGGACCAGGACCCACTTGTAAACATTGATGGCCAGTCCCGACCCAATGCCCCTCACTCCAGACCCACTGGCCCCACCCTCAGGTTTCAGCCCCACAATACATGGGGAAGGGGGTGGGAGGGGTGTGGAGCAGAGCATCAGGGGGCCCCAAGCAGCCCCTTGCAAGCTGGAACTCTGACAGCCTGCAGGGGAAAAGCCACAGTTCCCCACATTTCTCTCCTTTAAAGGAGAATCCATTTATAAAAAAAAGTTTGTTGATCCATTTTTTAAGCTGTTCGCAACCTTTTCTTATATTCTTGACTCATTTTTGGGCTGCAACCCACAGGCTGAGAAATGCTGCTCTAGCACACTCACAAAGGATGAATCAGCTATGCTGAGGCAGGTACACCTTAGATATCAGAGGAGGTGGTTAGCACTGCTCGAGACATTCAGGTGTCCAAAGAGGGCATGCCAGGTGGGTTGGGAATATGGTTAGGTTCTTACACAAACCCATTCCTGGCTGAAGTGCACACCCAGTCTCTTCTGAAACCTGCCACTTTGTGCAGGCTTGACTAGCATACTGGCATAGTTATACCAGCCTCCAATACTCCAGTAGTATTGCTGAACACATAGCCCAGACCATCTCCAATTGTAAAGTGATACACACATGAACTCAGAGTGGAGATGCTGAATATATCTATAATTCCTAAAAAATTGCTGAAAATATATACAATTTATCTTTTGGCAATATAGAGATACAGAAAAAGAAAACCTGTAGCCAAACGTCTACTGGGAAATTTAGTATTTACCATATTCTGTCTCAGACAATATGCCCCAGAATAACATACACCTTATTTTTGAACGACAGAATTAAGAAAAAAAAAGGTTTTTTTCAGAGTTATGGCTACATAGAACAGGAACAGAGCCTAATCTTCAGCTGACTCATCTCTCCTCTTCTGGTTAACTTGGGTTACCATATGTGCAGGTTTTCCTGGACATTTCCATTTTCTGGGTCCTCCCATCTCTCTCTTTTTTTTTTTTGGAGAGCGAGTACTTGCATGCGCACCCCCCCCCGTTGGCACCAACACTGCAGCTGAGCAAGAAGGGGCTCTACAGGGGCAGCAGGGAGCTGTGGGGGCAACAGGGCTGAGGAGATCAGGGGGCTGCAGATCAGGAGTGAGGAGCACCAGGAAGGTCTGGGGCAGCAGGGCTGTGGCTTGGAGTGAGGGGCAGGGCACAGGCATACCACTCCCCCCCACCTATACCCTTGCCACTCTCCCATACCACAGGTGTCTTTTTTTAAACTGGAAATATGGTAACCCTAACTTAGCTGAAGCTGAACTAGGAAGGGAGAGACTAGGAACAGCTGGCAAACAGCAAAATTATCCTAAGAAAGGTTAGTTTGAACAGTGGAACATCAAGACTTAAAAAAAAAAAAAGGAGAGGATTGTTAATACCTCTGGAGTAAAGAACAATGCGCTATTAAGTCAGTGGACTCACTCAGCTGCCTGAATAGTACTATAGCTGTTGCACTGTGACAGAAATCCAAGATGAATGTTTTGACCAGAACAGAAGCATCATCTTCCCTGCTTAACACACGCACCCCAATTGTGGGGGCTGATTTGGGGGAAAAGCCATCTGTCATATACAAGAAAAATACAATCCAAGGGTAAGGTCTTAGCTGTGCTTACTCTGCCATCTTGCTGATTCCCTCATAATTGCTGGATTATGCTCTTAAAATGACTTGGTACCACTAACCAGGATTTATCTTGCTGTCCAGCAATGACTCGGGTTTACTATAACAAACAAACAGACAAAATGATGCTGCACACACATTTTAAATCAATGTTGTAGTCCCAATGGGCATTTATTAATAGGCATAGCTATTTACAGTCCCAATAAACACAAAGCAATATGTAAACATTCCGTGTACTTATATACAATTGGGGGTATACCAGCTTTACATAATATAGTCCATTAGGGCAAAAAAAAAAAAAGCATCAATCTCAGCATTCATAGGTTGAGATAAAAATACTGAACTCACATGTCCTCAACTGTGATATCTTTCAGGATCTGACAGTAATCCACATTCCACACTGCCTGGTCGTCCCAAACTTTAGATGCCAGTAGAATTGCGCCCAGTACAATTCGCTTCCAGTTTGCTGGACAAATATCTATTTCTGCGTATGTTAAAAGTCTTTCAAGATATACCTGGGAAGACATATTATAACCAAGACTTAATATATTTTGCTACTCAATTTGAAAGTATGTTCTAAATATATATAATTTCTTCTATTTTAAAACAGTGATCTACTCCCATCCAGTTTATTTAAAGCTAGGTGGCTTTAAATCTATTCATGCAAGACTAGGTAAAAAGTCAGAGGTCCTTCTAAGCCTGGGTGCCTTGGCAGAGTAGTGTGGCTAACACATGCCAGATTCTGCAGCCAATGACAAGACAGTGCTGTCCAGCCACCTCAGATTTTCAGCCTGAATGACCAAGCGCTCATTTACAGCTGAGTCAACTAAAAGAGACCTTTGGTGAAAGCCCAGGGCAAGACTTCAACTCACATCTCTGAATCAGTAGCAAAATGCCTTAACTACGCTTCTACTGCACCATCCACTCAGGCAGTCTATATACATATCCAAAAGAAGCTTAACAGATATGATGGCAGATGAAACAACTTAACTAAATAATATTTTGAGAGACCCAGTAACTACTACTCAAAGGACAGCTTATGTTTCCAGAGTGAAATACAAAAAATGCATACCATTAAAAAGATTTTATAAAAGAAATATTATGGAAGAACATGAACAACCTGCTTAGGCATCACATTTTACCTTAATTATTTTTTCAAAGCGCATACACACAAGAACTCTGCTAACTGTGTTTATTGTAAGGTCTATGGGTCAAGTATTCAATATTGAAACCTAAAGAAGATCTTTAGCATAAGGCCACCAACTACACAAACTCTGTACATTTATTCCAATAATTACACTATGTACAATACGATAACATCCAAGTAATATAATCCCTTGCCACAGTGCTGGTTTTGCATTTTGAATTTTTGCTGAAAAGAATGAACTCCTGTTTTGTGCACCAATTACATGCGAAGATTATAACATGTAGGGATCAACCTTTCTGGTGCCACTTCAGTCCCCTTCTCCTGCCCAAAATGCTGTTCTGTTTTCTGCTCTATGCCCAGTGCTGGTCTACTCTTGTGTTCCCTGATCTGCCACATGCCACACACAAAGGCTACATGTGCCATTTGTGGCATACAGGCCACAGGGTGGTCACCCTTGGATTAGAAAGATGTGTGCGCACTTCACCTATGGTAACAGACACCAAATTCAAACATGCTTTTCAAAATTTAAAAAACAAAAAGCTTATATAATATGAAAACCCCAGGAAAAAATACTAGCCCATTTGTATCTGAAGAGAACATTAAACCACTACAAAATATCCAGTGCCAAGTGTAAAAAGATCCTCCTCTACTACTGTCAGCTCATCTCCACTGAAATCAACCCCCTATCTGGCTATTCAAATATGTTTCACTGCACTTTCCTTATAATAATTTGAGTAAAACTAAGAATAAGCAAATACTTCCATGAGTTTAGTAAGTCCTGCTTCCACTTAAAAAAAAAAAGTGATTTTTGCTACCAATGTCATTAGATCGAAGAGCTGACCATATGTCTCTATAGCTATTTATTACAATTTGTTCTGTACTTCAGGAAGTTCAGAAACTTTATCAGTGGCACTTTTTGTGACTAGCTCTCCTTCAGGTACTAATACTTGTGAAGAGACTATAGGGAGACAAAAGATTTTACAAGATACTTGGATGGAAAATACCATATAAAAAGGTGAAAGATTATGTTAATTGTCTAAAAAGCTAATATTCTTTTAAGAACTACAGCAATAGATTGTTGGGATCAACATATACTCCAAACTTCTCTGATCAGATGGATCACTGTTCAGGGGACAGAAGTGCTCTTCTGCATGCAACATAGCAGATTTTGTTCATTAATTGGGAATTAACTTTAAAACTTTAAATCTTTGGCTATATGTTTATACTACAGCATTAAAACAGAAAAAGAGCCGTAAAAACAATGTGTGGAAACAAACAACAAAAACCTGAGGGGCTGAGTATCATCAGTAAACTTAGCTACAGCACCTACCCTCCCAGGCAAAACTGCAGATTTTTCTGAAAGATAAGAAGCTTTGCAGATTTAAGCGAAACCAGAAGAGGCACAAAAACAGAGCTGAATTTTGTCCTCAGTCTTTAAATCAGCATGTCATGATGGTCCTGGATAAACTACTTCCCCCTTGGTTCTAATTTGCTGTTTGTAACCCACCCTGTTGCGTTTTATGTGGCTCAGAAATTCCTAAGTCCATGAATACAAACTGGAAAAAGCCACAATATACAACTCTCATTGTACTAGACACCAACGTGACTGCTGAGGGGGGACCTGGTGACTGTCTATAAACTCACTGGGGGGGACCAGAAGGGTTTAGGGGAGACACTTTCTCCTAGCACCCCCTGGCATGACAAGGAACAATGGATACAAATTATTAGAGAGTAGGTTTAGATTAGACATCCGCAAGAACTACTTCACAGTTAGGGCGGCCAGGAGCTGGAACCAACTTCTCAGGGAAGTGGTGCTGGCTCCTACCCTGGAGATCTTTAAGAAAAGGCTTGATGACTACCTGGCTGGACTCATTTGAGTCCAGTCTTTTCTCCCACCCGGGGGGG